TAACCTGACACTGCCCCAAGTGCAAGGCAGCACGAAGGAGAGGTTAACCTCCAGGTATAGATAACAAGCATTTGAGGTCAGGGATCAGAAAATTTGTGTTGCACAAAGCACGGTACTACAGAACTCAAAAACCCAGTCCAGAGTACTAGCAGGACAGATTTAGCGTACTAGCAGGACAGATTTTTTCCCCTGGAAGACTGAAAAAAAAAAAAAGGTGGCTAATGCAGTGGGATGGCTTGTCCACATGAAGTCTCAGAGGAAAGGGAGGGATACTTATAGTAGACTAGAAATAAAGCCAGCTCAACCCCTGCCCAAAACAGTCAGCAACCTCTCTGTCTCCCCTACTTGGTTGCAAATCATAGTAAGACCACAAGAGGGAAGCACAACCCAGGAGTTCACGTTTTGTGCCAGAATTTGAGATCACGGCCCACAGCAGCTCAAGGAGGACACAGCACGTACCATGTTAACAGGTACTGGGCTTAATCTAGTCTTAAATTAACAATAAAATGGTATCACTAACTAATACTGTTTCTTTCTACCCTTGTTTTGTAATGGCCTAGCTATTCTCAGATGACAGATGGGGAGAAAAGCAGGATTACCCTCTCCTATAGGCAGACAAATTATTGTTCTTCCCATTTTCCTGGATATGAAAAGTAAGACAGAGTGTGACAGGCTTCTTTACTCCAAGATTAAACAGATGATGGAATTTATTTCCCTCTCCCTTAGGCTTTTAGAGGTCTTAAGCAAAAATTTGGATCACATGAGGTGTTAATAAAAGTTGAGGCACTGCCTGACCTCTGGAAATCCCCAGAACAAACTTTGCCACACCCTTCACTCCTCTCACCTGGCAACTCTCAGGCTAATGGTCCATACAGGACAAAGTAGCTTCAACTCCAGCAGCCCTAGGTGTGAAAATCTTGTTCCAAAGTCCATCAGGAAAAGTCACTGGATCTTTCAGTGGTTCAAAATACCGAAACTGAGACAGGAATAAAACATCTTCAGAAAGTAATTGCAGCTTCTCCACTTGTATATTGAATTTCTTTCTTGGGCTCTATTTTCAGGATTAACTGTTTCACAAATGAGAAAGAGAGAGATGGAGGGAGGAAGGGAGGATCTTGCACAGAGATCTTCCTTCTGCAGCAAGCACCAGTACTTCCATAGCTTTAACTCTGCAGAGCAGGCTGCAGAGAATGTAACTGGCTGGTCTGAGAAAGGTGAGGAGGACTGCCAGGATGACAAGCCCTGGTTTGGAAGGTCAGCAGGAACATAGTGTGTTTTCCACAGGCCAAGGAACCTCCTTCAGCAGCTTCTATACCAGACCCAGAATTACAGCTTTTTTTACACAAAGGAATTTATTCCACAGGAAAAGGCTGGACATGAAAAGCCTCCCCCATCTCCCTTCCTTGTCAGAGAACACCGTCCATTTGTGAAATATTGCCATGTTGCATTTCTAGTCAAGATTCATTCAGCCTTTCCATCATGCACTGCCTCCTTTCTATTGTCACACATATTTCCCCCTGTGTGGGTTTGCAGATGATGATGAGATCAGCTCTTAACCTGCTCCCAAACTGTCCTTTCACAAGCCCTTTATCAGCCTCTGGGAACTTCTCTGAATTTCTGAACTACTGAAAAGTGAGTTTTGCACTTTCACAGGAGTTTCACGCATGGATTTGGAAAGAACAATTTCCTCTTGTTAGCATTGAAGTCAACAGCAAAATTAAGCCATGCATTCTCTAGCTCTGCTGTTTGATGGTCAGTAGAATCATAAAATCATAGAACAGTCTGGGTTGGAAAGAACCTTAAAGATCATCTAGTTCCAATCCCCCTGCCATGAATAGAGACACCTTTCCACTGGACCTGCTTGCTCAGAGCCCCATTCTGCCTGGCCTTGAACAATTCCAGGGATGGGGCATCCACAGCTTCTCTGGGCTCACCACCCTCACACTATGGAATTTCTTTCTAATATCTAACCTAAATCTACTCTCCTTCAGTTAAACTCATCCCCTCTTGTCCTATCCCTGCATGTCCTTGTAAAAACTCTCTCTCCATCTTTCTTGTAGGTTCCCTTCAGGTACTGGAATGCTGCAATTAGGTCACCCCAAGGCCTTTTTTTTCCCTAGGCTGAACAAAACCAAATCTCTCAGCTTTTCCTCATAGGAAATTCCTCATTTTCAATCCCTCTGACCAACTTGGTGTCCTCCTCTGGACTTGCTCCAACAGGTCCATGTCCTTCCTCTGTCGAGGACCCCAGAGGTGGATGCAGCACTGCAGAGCAGAGTGAAGGGGCAGAATGACCTCCTTGACCCGCTGCCCACTCTGCTTTTGATGGAGTCCAGAACAGGTCTGACTTTCTGGTCTGTGAGTGCCCATTGCCAGCTCATGTCCAGCCTCCCATCCAGCAGCACCCCCAAGTCCTGCTGGCCAGGACTGGAACCCAGTAAAAGCAGGCACCCTTCCATCAGCTCCCAGCTCAGACCCACAGCTTCTGCTGAATATTTAGGAGCTTGGCTTTTAGAAATATACAGTGGCTTTTACAGTATTTTTAAGACCTAGTGAAAAGAGAGATGTTTAGAATTTATATTGCTGACTGCTTTTAGACTTTACCTGTGGAAGCTGGTGTTAAAAAAAGTGTCTGAGCGAGCCAGCACACAGCACATTGTTTCCTCCTTGTCCATCTCTTCAGCAGCTGCTTCCTCCCTTCAAGGTGAACTGAAGTTCAGCCCTTTATCTTCCTCAGCTTGGCCCACTGACCTTCCCCCATAGGGCATCCTGACCAACAGGGTGAGTCTGCCCTTCACAAGAGTCCCAGCATGGAAGGGTTTTTTCAGCATAAAGGGACAGGCTCAGCTCAGTCCATGTAACTGGAATGGAAAGGTGCCAAACAGCTAAAACTAAATTTTATGTGCTGTGCAGTTAATGTGCAGCACTTCTCATCTGCTGTCACTCTACAGAGCAGCCCATGACATGCTACCTCTGACTATAGAAGTAGAAGGCCAGGAGTGAGTGGGGCAGTATTTTTCAGAAAAAAAAGGAGACCAACATAATGATCAGTCTTAAAGCAACCATGGGAAGGTACTTTCTCCCCAGCACACTAAAAAAAATTAATTGAGCTATTTGCCACAGGATATTTATTATAAGGGCCGAAGGTATAAATGGGTTTAAAAGACACAAGGTTAATGGTGGAGGGAGGAATCACTAGTGGCTGTTCATGAGGGGAGGGGATATGTCACATTCACATTTTCTGAAAAACCCCTTCACCCTGGATTTTTCTGCTGGGAAGTGGAGAAGACTCAGAGAAAAGGGAAAACAAATCTTTATCTCATTTGCTTCTCCTGTGTTGTGCTCACATGTGGAATGTGTTTGGAGATTGTTTACCACAGGTGATTGTTTCATTGGATTTCTGGTGTGTTTTCACTCATTGGCCAATCAGTGCCAAGCTGTGTTGGGACTCTGGAGAGTGTCACAAGTTTTCATTATGATCTTTTTAGCCTTCTGTAATTATCCTTTTTGTATTCTTTAGTATAGTTTAGTATAGCATTCTTTAATATAATATAGTATCATAAAATAATAAATTAGCCTTCTGAGAATGTGGAGTCAGATTCATCATTCCTCCCTGCCACGAGGGTCCCAGCAAATAAATAGGGATGCAGTGCTTGGCTCAGGTAAGCACTGAGACCATTGCTGTGAGAGGCTGGAAGTGGCTGCCTGGGCCATAGTCACCCTCAGCGCACCTCAGTTCCCTGCACACTTTCTGCTGGGGCTGCAAGTGTGGCACCACCAAGGCACCACCCTTGGTGAGACAGGTTATTGCTCTTGTCACACACTGCTGCTCTGTCCTCATCTCTCTGGCTGACATCCAGGCACACTTCCCTCCCTTGGCTCTCCATACACTGAACAACCAACTGGCCGCCACTACCACGTGAGATCCTGGCTGAGCCAAGAGGCTGTGGCCCTGCTTCCCACTGCACAGCAAGGCTCATTGCCAACCAGGGCAGGGAACAATGGGAGAGGCTCTGGAAGGCTGCCCTGTTCAGTGAGGGCCCTCTGCTGCAGGCGAGTCGTGTGTCTCCTCCCCACCTCTGCTGGGGAGAGAAAAAAAAATCTTCCTCTTATGATCTGGCTCCAAACTAAGAAGATGACAAAATCATCTTTACTCTTTCTTTCCTGCCTTCCTGCCTTCCATGCAAAGCAATGTATGCTACTTGTGGAAGGAAATAACATTTCTTTCTAACTGCTGCCTTGCACCTTTACCCTATACACTGCACAGTGAGAGACTGTCTTCCAACAGTGAAAGTGCCTATACAGAACTATACAGGAGCCTGTGTAATAGGGTCTCAATCTCTTTTAGAGAAATCTCTGCACTACCATAATAAATGCAATGATTTTGCCTCTTACAGATACTGTCTGCATGACCTTTCAAAATAAAGCATTGGAGTAATTGCAAAACAAGTTTCTTGTATCAACATGCAAATGCCATCTGTCAAAAAATGAAGGCAAGAATTGTGTTATATTAAGTGCCAAGGTCTATGTCAAGATCTATTTCAACATATTTACATTCCTCTCATTCCAAATGCATCTGCATACCCTGAACACAGAGTCACTAGGAAGGGAATCACTAGGAACAATTAATAAACACCTGTTGCCTCCCTTGGCAGTTTGCCCCTGTGTGCTCAAGTTTCCCAATACCAAAAGATTGGTTTATTTATCTGCTTTATAGCAAATAAAGTGTTTAAAGTGTAGGAGTAGGAATTGCTGTTGTATAATTTTCATGTTGTAACAGCTTCTCTGAAAGGGAAAGCTTTTCGCTTTTCCTAATGATGACCAGATTCCTCATCTCTTTTCTGAAAATTTATCCCATGGCTGCTGTGCCTTCAATGTGAAGTAAAAAGAAATCAGTAGGGGGAAAATCCCCATGAACTTTTCTTTCTGAATGTGTTTAGTTGTACTTACTGCACTAAGAGAAATGTACCATGATGTTTTATTTTCTGTTTTTTTGGAAGGGGATGAAGGTGAAAAGGGAGACAGAGGAGAAGTAGGCAAACAAGGAAAGGTTGGACCAAAAGGACCAAAAGGTATTTATGATGGTTTGTTGTCTATTGCTGGCATATGAATATCATTATACACAACTGTACTGATGCATATGATTGGTGTTTAATGCTTTTAATTTCTGTTTCACCAGTGGATTTCACAATCCTGTCAAATATTAATTGGTAAACATAACAATACTTTGCTTGGTTCAATTCCTGTTGATACTTAAGACAAATATATATGGCTGTCATGAGTGTGATTCAGAAAACCTATATCATATACATAATCAGAAAGATTACTCTTACTGAAATTAGCCTTTAGTTGAAATTGAATTTTGACCATTATTGCCTAGCAATATGTCAGGGTGCTCAATAAAATTTGGTGTCAGTTGTCTGTATTCTGCAGACAAAGCAAACAAAGCCATACACACACAAATAAAAAGTTCCTCTGATCAAACAGCATCAAAGATGAGAACAAGGACTTACAGATGTTTCAGGACTTGGCTCAATTAAATATGTTCCATACCCACAGTGTGACCTGGGCACATCATTTAGAGGCACCAGATGTGACCGTGTCAGCCTTGTTTGCATACTCTAATTTGAAAGCTTAATTTATCTTTATAGTTTAATGACAATGCATATCCAAGATCTTCCTTCTTTGACTGTGGCTTAAGACTAATCAGGAAAGTTTTTACTTTTAGAGAAACTTCAAAATCACTCTGTTATTATTGTTATAACAAAAAACTTCTTCCATTTTTAAATGCATTCTTATGATTTCACTTCTTACCTTAAAATGAACATCAGGTAAGATACAAGGAATTCAGGGAATCAACCATTTACAAAGCATCTTATTGATGTTAAAGTCCTTTTGCAAACTGAGATTCCCTAGATTGGCCTGTCATCATTAGACAGCTATTTCAGAACTTACACTATTTATTAATCAATTAAAAAGGACACCTGTTATTTTGGTGCTCTGAAGACTGGGAAAACACATACAGCAAAATTAGTAGCTCCCTACTTGCAGGCCTGCTTTGAGAAGGACTCCCAGCAAAGCCACAAGGACTTAGGAAAGTGTTTTGCCTGGAGTGGAGAAAAATAAAAGGTGTCAGCCTGGTTAGGCTGTGAAGTAAATCACTAGCAGATTTAGTTTCTATTTTCTCTAAGACAATATGATGTTTGAACAGGCAGTTTTATTAAGGTTCTATGCCATGTCCTACTGTTGTACCCTAGAGGAGCAGAGATCTGGCTGTACTCTTCCAAATATCCTCAGGGCTGTGCTCACTTCACTTTGCCACGCAGGCAGACTGGCCACACTCGGGAAAAACAGCAGCAGTAGAGACCTAAACTGTGCCTCAGAAAAGAAATTACAGCAACCATCCATACTCATTTCCTCTTCATTTCTGCTCTTAGGAAACAAAGGACCAGCGGGTGATGTTGGTGACCAGGGAATGCTTGGTAAAATTGGTCCAATTGGTGGAAAGGGTAAGCTCTGGTCTGAGAATTTTCTTGGGGTTTTTCCCCTCAAGGTAAATATGTGCTTTATGAGACCTCTAGATATGGAGCAATATTAGATAATCGTACAACCAATGCTGTCCAAATAAAGTTATGAATAAAGACTGGTGATGATAGTGAGCTGAAATAACCTAGTTTTATTTCTTCATGCAATATATCCAACTAATTTGGCTAAAATAATTTCTTTTATGAGTTAAGACATCAATCCTCTTTGATGGATCTAGTTGAAGGTGTTTCTGCTCATAGCATGGGGGTTGGACTAGATGACCTTTAAAGGTCACTTCCACCCCAAACTATTCTACAATTCTGTGGTAAAAGAGAATGGGAGAAATTCAGCACCTGTGAAGTAAATGCTCTGAACACTCCAAGAGACAAATATGTGCCTTTGATTTGGAGGCTGAAGGCCTAAGACAATGTCCTGCTGCTGCTGAGGATGCCACACCTGCACTGCTGTGGGTCATGTGAGCAAGCAATGCACAGGACATCTCGGTCCTGGTAAGGAACCAATGCAGGAATTTTAAGAAGGTGCTCACATAAGCAGGGATGGCAACTATTTGCAAATCAAGGTAGACTCCAAATCTGCCTGGACAATCATTTAATGAAATTGTGCTCTATTTATCTTGAGAAGAAGCTCAGACATTCCTTTCTGATATTCCTAAAGAGCTACTTAAAAGGAATATTGCTTCTGCCACAAGGAGACCTGCCTTGAAAGCTGATGAGGGACACCACCATTGCCAGGAGAACTCTGGGGTCTCAAACCAGCACATCAACTTGGATATACTGTTGAGTGGATGGAACAGTCTCTCTGGAGAGCTTCTCAAACCACTGTTTTTAATAAACCTTTCATGGCCTCCAGCCAGCCTCAGTATCAGGCAAGAAGAAAATATTTTGACCTGAGGGATTAATTTTCAGAAGTGCCTAGAAAACTGAAAACTCAGAGAGTTATCTCCTAAAATGTCTTCAATCCCCAAAGGAGACAAAAAATGAAGACTCTCACAAGTTGCTTTTCTTTATCTGAAAGTAAACCAATGTTCTGAGCCTTTAAATCAAGTTCTCTTTTAATCTGAATGCACAATTTATTGTCCCCTTACAGTTTTTTCTCTTTTTTTTTTTTATTTGTGGAAGCAAAGGTCACTGTTTGAATCTATGACTAAACATTGGAGTTCTTAACGAAGCAAGCCTGAAATTCCAGCTTGCAAGTGTGCAGTGGGTGTGCTGCTAATTAAAATGACAGCCAACATCTAAATTCTTTAAAAAACCACAACCATATAAAGTAAAAAGTACATAAAACCATGGTCATCAATAAGGCAGAGCAAGTATTAGAATGTTTTGACCTCTGAAAGTTTTATTCATAAAAGAGCTGACATGAATTTCCGATAAAGTCCAGCTGTTCCTGACCCAAATTCCAACTGAGGTTTTTTAAAGAACAGGTCCCCTCCAGTTATATAGTAGCAGAGCATTTGGAGAAGTATTTCTATCATTCTTATAATTTACAAAAGAGAGTTGGATGAGAGTTGGAGAGTTTGCAGTTGGATGCAAATAAATCCCATTTCCATAAACTGAACTGAAATGCTGCTCCTTAATGCAGGTGCCAGCTGCTGCCCCCACACTCAATCTCTTGCACGCACAAATTCAGTGGCTTAGAGCACATCTGCTGCCTCCTCTCACCATGGAGCTGCTGAACCTGGGGAAGGGCTCTGTCCTGCAGCCCCTGAGAGAACCCAGATCTCACCTTTTCAAGATGTCTTAAGTGCTTTCAGCCTCTCAGGATCATTTTGCAGTTTATATTTAAAGTAAGTGGTACCAGGAGCCAGCAGCACACAAGATGCCTGTGTTATCAGTGAGTTAGCTATTAAAGGGCTCTCATTTCCATGCACCAGAATTAATCATGGTTTGTTTAACTTGGCATGTCTTCCAGTACAGTCCATCAGAGCTTCCCATCAAAAGCACACTGTTAATATATTATTAAATGGGTTTTTGAATATGCTTCCCTGACATATGCACTCTCTGAGATCTGAGAATATATTTTCCTCTTTATTCAGGTGACAAAGGAGCCAAAGGCTTACCAGGGGTTTCAGGAAAAAAAGGAAAAGCAGGTATGCTATGCATCCATCTGTGCAGAATGGTCAAATCTGCTGGATCTTTGATTTCAGGGTTGGTTTGTAAGAAATTCCATGATATTGTGAGGGCCAAGGAAAATACATTGAAATGCCCAAGGAGAATAAATGAAATGTAATTGAGGCCCAAGGAGAATAGATGAAATGTAAGGAAGAGACTGAAAATGTTTCGTTGAAGAAAATAAAGGATAGTGTAGGGACATGACTGATTCCTATGAATATACCAGCATGCACAAAATATGAAGTCACCCAAATTAATGGGTAATATTTGGTATAATAAAAACTAACACACAGACCAGCAGTACGCATTAAAACTGGATACTAGAAGAAAGTTTCTTAGTATCAAAGGAATTAAGCCCTTTAACAGTTTCCTAATAGGAGCATGGGATGAAAAAGTAAGTGATATTAGATAGAAACAATCTTTTATCAAATTAATGCAATGCATTTGCTTACAGGAGGAGAATTTGACTCTGATGCACTAGTAACCTAGTAACCTTGAATGGTTACCCACCTTGAACATATACTAGTGTTTATTTTTAAGAGATTGCATATAAAGTGACCATTTGGTGCTTAATGGGAAACCATCAGCAACTGATTTTCTTTCTGAGAAAAACAAAAAGAACAAACAAAACCTCTAGCAAGCCAAATTCCAGATAAAATTTAAAAAAACGAAAAATATTAACTGATACTTCAGGGCTTGAAAGCTATTGATTTTTGGGTCAGTATTAACTTGCTTAAGCCTGTTAGCAAGGGAGTGTACAGAGTGTACAGAGCCAAACAAGAAACACTTTGATCAACAGCAGTGTAGCCAGGGGGTAAGGCAAGACTGGCCCTCCATAAGTGCAGCCCAGATCTTCAGAAGCTTTGGAAGTGGGCTAGAGGTGACTCTCCATGCACACACACACACCCAAATGCTTCTAAATAGGTAAATCCTCTATCCTCTGTATTGCATCAGGCACGGTCTGTGACTGTGGGAGATACCGCAGATTTGTCGGACAGCTGAATATCAATGTCGCTCGTCTTAACACATCCATCAAGTTTCTGAAGAATGGTAAGGATCGTTAAATATTTGAGGGGATTTACTTGACTCCAATAACAAGTGTCATTGCTATTCTTCAGCCACTGTTGATCTATGGAAGTGTGGGATGACTCCTGAATTATTTGGGAGAGTGTTCATTTTCCGAGGCCTAACTCTGCTCAAGACCACTCCAGCACCACTCCTGCAATCCATTAGCAGAGACAATCAATTTCCAGCAATCCAGGCATGCTCCTTCGCACTGCTTAATTCACTAGGCTATAAACTCACTGGTTGAGAGTCTGCCTTTTAAAGCTGCTGAGCAACCAAAATTTTCTTCCGAGTCAATGCCACAGTGCTACAGCAGCTCTGAATATCAAGCCATATCTAAAATGTCTTATCTTAGCAGTCACATTCATTTGCCTCTACATGGAAAGGGCCTGAAAAGCTATTTATACCACTCTGTTTCTACCCCTAGGCACTCTTTCACAATCTATATTCAAGAACGTACAAAGCAATAGGGCGATCCAGAATTAGACATTGCCATTTGACAATTTAGCATGCCTTAAGCTGATTCCTAGACTAGACATCCAGGAAATAAAACTGAAGTGTCACAGGAGACATGCCAATCAGGACTGAGTAGTTCTTGTCCTAATGTGTGCTAAGAGCTTGACAATCCCATTAGTCACATCAATCTCTGATCGTGTCCTCGTTGTTCATCATAAATACAGTGGTGGGAATACTTTTCCTCCTTCCCTTTTATTAATTCTAATGTAAAAAATCATCTTATTGCCATATTGGAATAGAATAACCTTTGGCATCTGTTGACATGCCATTAAGCAATTTTTCTTCTTCAAAGTTATAGCAGGTATCAGAGAGACAGATGAGAAATTCTATTACATTGTGAAAGAAGAGAAGAATTACAGAGAAGCCTTGATCCACTGCAGGGATAGAGGAGGATCACTGGCCATGCCTAAAGATGAGGCAACCAATGCCTTGCTTGCTGACTACATCTCCAACAGCGGCCTGTTCCGAGCCTTCATTGGGCTGAATGACATGGAAAGAGAAGGACAGTTTGTGTATGCAGACAACAGCCCACTGCAGAACTACAGCAACTGGAAGCAAGGGGAGCCTCATGACCCAGCTGGTCACGAGGACTGTGTGGAAATGCTCAGCACAGGAGAATGGAATGACTCTGAGTGCCAAGTCACCATCTACTTCGTCTGTGAATTCCTCAAGAAGAGGAAATAAAAGTGCCAGAGAATGTACCTGGCACCTGCTGTACATACAATAACCTATCTTCATTCATTTACAGTAGGGAGAGTAAATCAGGGATAGGAAACCAGGGACAGGGCTCAATCCAGCCTTCACATCACTGGGCTGAGCAAGAGTAACTGCTGTGTGGTCATCAGTGACTGTAAAGTCAGCATAGGTCTGCAGGGGGCATCCAGCCAGCTGTGAATTTTCATTTCATTTCTACATGCATTTTAGGTTTGGCATTTCTATGTGCAATTTAGGGGTAAATTTAGAGCCTGAAGAAGTGAATATAATTTTGCCAGTTCCAGAAATAGTAAGATCATTGGTATTTGAAGTACTGATGTGGTTTGCAAAGTCCACAGATGGAAAGAGCATGACCTTCATTAATCTCTGACTTGCACAGGGAGTCCCAGTAATTTCCCTTATGACTTCAGAGCTCAAAGTAAAGATTTTAAGTATCTCTTGAAAAAAATCCTTCTTTTGTTAGAGTCATAATTTGAGGTGGAAGGTATCTCTGGAGGTCATTTGGGTAAATCTTGCATGCAAAGTAGGACCAACTTCAAACTTAGAAGTTGTTATACTCTCCTTAATTTGGCTGTGCAATTATGTTGCCTGAAAAGCATTTATTTGGTCTTCTGTAAAGCCTTTGACATGGTCCCCTTCAATAACATTCTCTTTAAACTGGAGAAATGGATTCAATGGGTGGACTATAAGGTGGATAAATTGGTTAGATGGCTGCATCCAGAGGGAGTTGGTCAATGGCTCAGAGTCCCAATGGACATCAGTGACAAGGGATGTCCCTCAGGGATCTGTAGAGGGACCAGCACTATTTAGTATCTTCCTTAATGACATAGACAAAGGCATGAAGTGCACCCTCAGCACATTTGCAGATGGCACCAAGCTGGATGGTGCAGTTGACACACCTGAAGGATGGGATGCCATTCAGAGTGATCTGGATGCCATGAAGGAAGTGGTCCATGGGATCATTATGAGGTTTAACAAGACCAAGTGCAATGTGCTGCATTTGAGTTGGGGCAACCCCTGGAATCAGTCCAGGTGAGGGATGAACAGATCAAGGGCAGCCCTGCCCAGCAGGACTTGGGGTGCTGCTGGATGTGAGGCTGGACATGAGCCAGCAATGTGCACTCACAGGCCACAAAGCCAAACAGGTCCTGGCTGCATCCAAAGCCCTGTGATTCTGTCCCTCTGCTTTGCTCTGATGAGGCCCCATCTGCAGTGCTGTGTCAGCTCTGGGGTCCCCAGCACAGAAAGGCTATGGACCTGTTGTAGCAAGTCGAGAGGAGGCCATCAAGATGATTAGCAGGATGGAGCACCTCTCCTATGAGGAAAGGCTGACAGATTTGGTTTTGTTCAGCCGGGAAAAAAAAAAAAAAGGCTTTGGGGTGACCGAATTGCAGCATTCCAGTACCTGAAGGGAGCCTACAAGAAAGGTGGAGAGAGAGTTTTTACAAGGACTTGTGAGAGGACAAGGGGGGATTAGTCTAACTAAAAGAGAATAGACTTACGTTAGATAATAGAAAGAAATTCCATAGTGTGAGGATGGTGATCCCAGAGAAACTGGGAATGCCCCATCCCTGGTATTGTTCAAGGCCAGCCTGGATGGAGCACAGAGCAATCTGGTCTAGTGGAAAGAGGCCCTGCCCACAGTATGGGGGCTTGAACTAGATGATCTTTAAGGTTGCTTCCAACCCAAACCATTCTATGATTCTACGCAGAAGAGATCTTGCTTATCTCTGTTTTCAACTCCATCATCCTTCAGGCTGGCCTGAAATGTGAGGAATTAATTGTACATAGGCATGCAAGCCTACACAGCTTGTAGGGAACCTAAAAACAGATGGAGTAGTTCTAGTGTCTGAATTCCCCAAAATCTGTGATAAGCATACAGAAGTCTAGCACAAAGAGAACAGTGTAAAGGAAACAACACCATTCCTATAGGCTGTGAACAGGCACATGTCATATAAGCTATACCATGTGCCCTGCTGGTTTAACAAGTGATTCTAGGAACATATTAACTCCCTAACGCAGAAGCCAGTGACGTTTGATGTTTAAGTTAAAATCACCCAAGCCTTTGTAACACAGGAAGAAGCTATAGAACAGGTTTCATCCCCCAAGAACCCAGATTCAGGTGTGGTTGAACAACTTAGTCATGCAGCTCAGTGGGACTCACTAAAAATGATGAGCACTGAACATAAAGGCTCTGCTGTCACTGCCTGGCTACTTAGATCTCCATGTCACAATGCCCACAAGAATCACATTTTCATATATTTGCGAATACTGACAGAGCTTTTTTCCTTCACACACATCAAGTGCTTAGTCATGGTTTGCCTTTCCTCAGAGCAGGAGATGCAAAGAGAAACCTCAGAGTTATCACAATGCAAGTCTGTAGGTTTTCCTTCCCACTTGACACTAAAAATTAAGGAAAGCTATCTGGAAGCTAAGGAGAATGCTAGATGGTTGGCACCACACAGCAACATTCCCTGCAGGTCACTGAGCACCAGGTGCACACAGCCCTCCTCTGGGTATACAAAGAGCTGGACATGCCTTCAGCTAGTAATGCAGAGGGTCAGCTCTGAGTCTCCCTTCTCCTGCTGAGTACAGCGCTGCAAAGGCAACCAAACAATCATATGTCCTCAACCTCACCCTGAACGGGAAAATTCTCCAAACATTTGCCTGGTTGTTTGACTCCAAGTTCACCTCTGAGCATTGACCAACACAGGAGCATCCCAGGTGACTCTGTGACTCAGAACCACTCTTGTAATCTGGTTTCTCTGACACTTGTTCCTCCAGAAAACCTCCTGGTGCTACCAGCAGTAAATTATCTGCGTTGCTACACTCCCTCCAGGAAACTATTCAAACCTGTGAATAAAGAGGTGGGACCACATTTCTTTTCATTGCTCCCCTTCTATGCTATGAGACTATTTGGGCAAACAAGTTCACTTTGCATGATGTAACTCAGCCTGAATTGTTCCCTCTCTGGGAATTGATATTCCTCAAGACTAGGCAGAATTACATTTTTAGGATCTACTGTAATAAACTCATTAAGATAAACAATTTGTTTTTAGAAGCCTTAATGGGTAATGATAAATAATTAATGATTAATTCAAGAAAAAGCTTCTTGAGGAAAAATGCCTTTTAGAAGTTCAAGTCCAAGGCTGCTGGCCTCATTCACAGCAAGTCAGTTCCTACCAGTCATGCAGAAGTGGCATAGTAATATCCCTGTGTGTAGGCACAATCACTTCTCCACACTTCATCTTCACTTCTGACCCAAGAAGCCACAAAAACATGCTTACCAGACTGGAGGTCCATATTCTGAAACTGTGTGGCCATACTGAGATCACTGGCTGACAAAATGTCCTTAATGCTACATCCATCACAGATAGACCATTTTCCTGTTCTTTAGGAGAAAACTCAGAGCTGGGAGAAAATGGAGCAATGCTTTACTGCAGGATCAAGCTCTGCCTTAGACTAGACCAGCTGCTCTCCAAGTCATTCAAAATTAGTAAATACTTGTCTAAACTGAAACTTTAGGGGGTTTTTAGGTGGCTATAAGTTATGAGTAATCCTGGACCATGTTCTATGGACAGGAAGGAATGACTATCACAGTGTCTGGCTCCATGGCTGAGTGATGAAGTGAGTGAGGAACTTGTGCTGGATTTCTATAATGGAAAGGCTGGGACTGCCAAGTTCTTCCATCCTCATCCTCTACCACTACACCATTATCATCCTTTCTTAAATAGAAAAAAAAAAAATAAACAAAACCAACCCTTTAACCACTTTGTATTATTGGAACATTGGCAGAGCTACACCAGCTGAAACAAGCAGCCTTGGGATGGCAGTTCCTTTGCTAACCAGAGCAGAGGGACAGCAGAGGAGCACAGCAGATGTCCAATGTTCAAGCCAGTCAGGCATAAGTGTGAGCAGGTGCTTGTGCAGCCCATTCCTGCAGCACTAGTCCCAGTTGATAAATTCTGCCAAGAAGCTGAACTTGTAGGCCAGGCCAAATAAGAAAGCCCATACCACAGAGGAAACCTGGCAGGCAGTGCCTGCCCCATGCCTTGTGGAGACAGGCTTGAGCCTGAACAAACTGAAATATTAGAGCCACGTTTTGCAGAAAAAAATATGCTCGCTCTAATTAAGAATTTGGGCTACATCAAAGGTTTCCACTGCTAGCCAATGGAAATTCACTGTGGTGGGTAAAGTATCTTTTATACATGAGGTGGATGGAGCCAGGAACATAGGAAATGAGGCCTGACTATCCATGATTTATGGTCTGTAAATGTGTGACACCTAAACCATTTTACCCAATACCAGTATTACTTTTTCACATGTTTTTCTTTCCATTATTCCCAGGCCAAATGTTCTTGTTTCAATTTATGCTTGCCGTTTATTGTCCTCCCACGACTTAACTTACGACTGAGAAGAGCCTGGCTTTGTCTTCTCGAAGACACCCTCACAGGTGCTGGCAGGCTGCTATCAGGTTCACCTGAAGCCACCTCCTCTCCAGGCTGCATAAATCCAGTTCCTTTATATCCTCCACACGTGCCTCTGACTGCAGCCATTCTGGGGAGTCTCAGCTAAACCTGGCTCCAATTCCTCACTGCCTTTCCTGGAGGGGCTCAAAAGGACACAGTGCCTAGATGTGGTCTAACAGGTGCTGAGCAGGAGCATAACTCCTTCCCACAAGCTCCTGGCTGTGCTTTCTCCAGTGGAGTCAGGATGCCATTACCTTCTTTGCTGCCAGGGCACACTTCTGATGCACAGGCTGTGTGCTGTCTGCCAGGACACTCCAGAGCCCTTGCAGGAAAGCCAGTCACCCCCAGCACGTATTGGTGCAAGGGCTCAGCATTCGCAGGTGACAGGAACTTTGCATTTGTTCTTGCTGAATTTCAGAAGGTTCTTCTTGGCCCATTCCTCCAGCCTGCCTAGGTTATTCTGTATGTAGCACTGCCCACAGCATATTCACTGTTCCTTCCAATTTGGTATCATCTGCAAATCTGAGGATTTTATGACCTCCTTGAAGCACCTGGTAAAGAAGCTAAACAGGACTGTTCCAGTCTCCAGATCTCTAGGTAAACAGGAAAATGTTGTCTGGGTAGAGAACAACACATTTAACCATTCTCCTCTGAGCCAATTCAATGAATATTTTTTGCCATACAAACCATAACATCCAACTGGGGTACAAGAATGTTGTTGGAGACAATGTCAAAAACCTTGCTAAATTTGAGTTAGATGATAGCCACTTCTCCCCCCTCATCCACAAGCCCAATCATAGAATCATAAATACAATCAGGAAGTCAGACATGATTTACATTTGGTAGATCCAGGCTGATTGTTTTCAATCACCTTCTCCTTCATATGCCCAGAAATGTGCTCCAAGAAGATCCAATCCTTGAAGTTTCACAGGGACCAAAGCAACGCTGGTCACTTTAGAGCTCCCCAGATTGTCTTTGGCCTTCCTGAAGAAATGGTGCAACATTTACCTATTACCAGTTATTAAGGAACCTTCCATGATCTCCATAACCCTTCTGATGTGATAGAGTGGCTCTGCAGAGACATCTAATCATGGTTTTTTTGGCCCTTGGATGCGGTCTGTCTGCTCCCATGGTGTTTTCTGGTCAAACTCTTTCAAGTAACCCCCAGCCAAACACTCATCCACTGCTGGTAGTTCTCTTTGGACCCTTTCCCTAAGCACAGATGCATGGGATAGTTTGGTGGTAGAGATAGCAAATAAACCTTAGAATGCCTCCATTTTATCAGTGTCTGCTGTCACTACATCACCTCCTCCATTCAGCAATGGTTCCAGGTATTCCTTCCTCAGACTTTTTGTACTAACAAAGCATTGGAAGGTCTTGTTGTGCTTCCCATGTAAGCCTCAACTGCATTTAGGCTTTGTATCACCCAAGGCTACTCCTACAAACTCAGGTAATTCTTCTGAATTATTCCACTGTATTCCTTGCTTCCATCTCCTCTATACTACCTTTTCATACTGGAGCTCCTCCAAGCTCCCTGTTCAGCCACACCAACCTCCTGACAAAGCTACTTGTAGATGTGCAGAGAAAACAAGAGCACTGCCTAAGATAGCAGGAATACTTCAGTATGCTTCTTGGACAACCAGGAATTTATCACCTTCTGTGTTCTGAGGAATGTCACTCAGTACAAGCATTATCATCCTGTTCTCCCAAGGCTCATAACATATATAAGGCACATATATCTATGGTAAATATAATGTTTTAGAAACTAACTCCAATAAAAATGATCACAGAATCAATATATCCCATTGGAACACATTTTCCTCAAGCATTTCAAACTGTCTCACACGGGCATTCAGCTGATCCATTTCTTTCTTTCTACTTCTTTCACTGCTTTTAATAACTTTTGGGTTTTGCTTTTTTTAAACACCTAGAATAATAGATTGCCACACTCTTGACCACAGCCACAAGAATATATAGGCATCTCTATGTAGCTTTACATACAGTCTTAAAAAGTACATTGCAATTGTAGTTCAGCTGGCTGAAATGGTTATTAAGATGCAATTTGACACCATGTGTGATGACAAAAATAGTAAATGTGTCACAGAGAGAGAAATTAACATGGTTTTTAGGAAAACATTGCTCTAGATTGTCTTGATTTAATAGGTTTTCATGGGTACAGAAGCCACAAATTGCTATTTCTTTTTTTTTCCTCCTTCTTATTTGTTAAAGTCATACATTAACTCCTCAACATGGAGAAAAAAGAATGAGCAAGATCAAAGTTGTAGCTTAATCTGTGTTTCTTTTATGCGTTTGTGTCAAGGGAGAACAGCAAATTGTAAAAGAATTTCTGCCTCCCTGCTGTGTGCAGTGTGCCCAGCTCTGGGCCCCACCCACTCCAGGCCTGCAGAGGTTGCTCCATGCAGATCTTTCAACATAGGGAGGAAAAGTTTCAATTGATTTTTAGGTGGGTGGGACCAGGAACTCACATCACTCCATTCTGCAGGCAGCAGCAGCCTGCTGAAGCACAGTGGCTGAGCACACAGAGCTGTCTGTGCCTGGGCAGTGTGGGTGCATGTGTGCATTTTGAGCTCTGAGTGCCCAAGGCCCTTAGTGCTGTACCCCAGCAGCCCCAGTACCACAGCTGGGCTTAAATCCCACCGAGGTCCTGTGCTTAATCAGACCTGCAGATGCTGGGGGAGTCAAGGAACTGAAGCTTCTCACTGGTATGAGGCAGTACATCATGGAGGCATCTGCACAGCCACGACCTCAAATGATGCCATTTCATTACATGTCCTCTTTTTTGTTACATTTTTCTTTACTTATTGTGTTTTGCAAAACAAACATAACTTTTAAAAAGTA